TTACGTCGAACTTCAACAATCTGTAACAACATTGTTTCCACCTGAAATACGCATGCAGTATTATTGTCACAAATTACGTCCAACTTCAACAATCTGTAGCAACATTGTTTCCACCTAATAAATGATATAAAGAATTGTTTCTATCTGAAATTCTATATTATGTGTGTTTAGTCTAATCAATCATGACGTTCCTGCTCTTGCTATCTACATTGACGTTATATCACCCCCGCAGTCTGAGCCAAGCTGACCAGACTACAAAAGGCCTAATACTTTCGAATAGTCATCCAATCTGCTTGTGCCCTCTTTATAGATCTCTAGTCCTCTGTAGTCATCTCTACAACTGTTGCCTTAAACCAGGCAGTTGTCGTCCATTTCACCTCTCTTTCATACACTGCCTAAATCATCTGTCAAGACATATTGATATACTTATTTTTTCATTTGTATTTTGCTGCTTCTATCATATTCTAATTATCAAAGAAGAACATGGAAATACTTTGAGTCTAAATTCTCCTCCTTCATTTGTCTGAGTTAGGTTGCATGCCTGGTGTTGAAACGTTAATTCATCCTTGCTGAGCCATCTTGTTCTTTCTTCAGATGTGTTTTCAAGACAAATGACAATGTGTGTGAGGTTTTAGGGTATAATTGTTTGTGCATGAATAGCTTTTGGTGTTGGATAAATATTGACCAACAATGTTTAGATGTGAATGAAAGTGAGGTCTAGCATTATTGGCATGGTGCATTGTTTTTATATATATATTATCTTGTCATCACATTCAATTTGTGAATTAATAGGTGAAATTCTGTTATTTAATGCACATTGTCTTAACAAAATCTGGATACCATGGCCCAACATCTAAGAATTGAATAACAAATATAAAGAAGCTTATTTAATGCTGTATATACACCCAATTGAAAGACGAGGTTCTATATTGTGAAACGGCTGACAAAATTGAACAATTTTATTTTCAAAACTAATCAAAAACAAATAAAAGTATTCTTGATTGTGCCATTTTATCATGAAGTTGTATCTCTCCACCTTACAAGACACGGCAGTTCTCGCTAATTTCTTTTAGTTATGAAAGTATATAATTCCAATATTACAGCGGGACCTTAATATTTAGCCTTGCTTATATATATAACTTGATATTTGATTTATACATTTTATAGTTTTTGAGGTTTATCCATTTCCGGGAACAGAACTATTTTTTAGTCTCACAACCAATCAGGTTATTACTTTTCAGATATTCTGCATTACAAACAAACTCGAATGACAGTGACTACATTAACTTTGTGTTTCAACATGACAGTGACAACATTAACGTTGTGTTTCAGCATGGCTGACTAAATAACGTTTTGTTTCAACCTGACAGTGACTACATTAACGTTCTGTTTCAGCATCAAAGTGACTACATTAACGTTCTCTTTCAATATGACAGTGACTACATTAATGTTCTCTTTCAATATGACAGTGACTACATTAATGCTATGTTTCAATAAAACACAAAAATATGTTACTAACAACTTGTGAACAAAATTTTGTTTAACTCTTTAGCCCCCAAAAGTGGACCTTTTTGGTGAGGATGTTTTTGAAGTTAAGCACAAAGCTACACAATGGGCTATCAGTGTTCTGCCCACTACCGGTATCGAAACCCGGATTCTAGCGTTGTAAGTCCGCAGACATACCGCTGTGCAACTAGGGGGGGGGGGGCGGACCTTTTTGGACATTTTTCCTATTATCAATTAATAAAAGTAGAGCGTTCCACAACTAAAACTGGTAGTTGTTTTCGGTTCACAATTTTTTGTTAAATAGTTGTAGCCACTGACAGTGTGCTGTGCTTCGTTAACTCCTGCTCCATCATCATAATAGTATTCTTCCGCTTCCCCTGAAAACATTATCATTATGGTATTTTAAAAATTATGTACAATAGCTGGATAACTAAAATTCAAATGTTCCTTTTCGGAAGAGAATTAATTATGACTTGATTACAAATACAATAAACTAAGTAAAATACAATATAGAAGAGATGTTTAAAGTCACATTTGAAATATATTCTTCAAATAAAGCCTATAATCAGTTATTATGAAATATTTCAACAGTTACAATATTACGAAATCATTGTGTTATGAGAAAGAAAATTTTGAGTGTTGTACGCGTATGCTGATCGTACTTATTCCAAAAATTAATTTATGGTCAGCTTTGAACACTTGTTTGTTTGCTTGTAGAATTTTCGCGCAAAACCGTCCGTAATTTTGAACTGATAAAGTAGAGGAAAAACAGCTAATCAACAGCACCCACGCTAACTCTTGGGCTAATATTGTCTAACTGAATAATAGAATTTTACTGTAAACCTTATAGCATACCCTTGGCCCCAAAGTGCGGAGCACGTTTTTATGACAACCAATCGCGAAACATGAATCCTGGGATTTACAGTCTAGACATGCTAAATTATAGGCAACAGCCTGTCCATTTTTGACCTCAGTAGATTTAAAAGTTCAATAAAAAACATAGAATATATATCATTCTTTCTGAATTAACTAAGAAAATAAAAGAAGACGGCGGCATGGGTTAGCCCTATGGTAGAGATCTGGATTTCGGAGATGGCAAGTCTGATTCAAATCCGCGCGACACCACACAATATGTTCAGCACTTTAAGCTTTGAGTGCGTTGTAAGAGTGGTAGTCATTCCATTAGAATGAATAGTGAGTGGTAGGGTGATGCATACTGGCTGCCTTTCCTTTGGCCAGTAGTTCAAAATTAAGGACGATAACAGATAACCTTAATAGGTTTGCCATAAAATACAAGAAAAAATACTTGCGCTTTGTTATAACTTTTTGCTAAGCCTATTTTTGCTGATGATTGTTTTTAGACTTTACGAACTCACACCACCAGAGACCTTAAATACTTAACTTTCTGTGCATCCAAGGTTTAGCAGCAATCAATTCAGCTAAAAGAAAAGTATTATCTGAAAACAAAAAATCCGAAGTACAAAATAATGTTTTAAAACTTCAGGTTTTTTTTGTAGTAATCAAATATGTGGTAGCGATTCCAGTAAACCTAATTATGTACACATTTAATTTGTTTGTTTACAGTTCAGCACAAATCTACACAACGGGCTGACTATCTGTGCTCTGCTCAGGTGATTAGAAATACCCATGAAAGGAAAATTGCCTGCCTAAAAAACATAATATGACAGACTATATAAGAGGAAGTCTCATTATTAAGTAATAGAATATGAGCTAAAATTAAATGTTGAAATTATGTCTTAATGCGTTACACTTCGCTACAAAAGTCTAACTGTGTATGCCACAACGGTATGTCTGCGGATTTACAACGCTAGAAACTGGGTTTCGATACTCGTGATACAGTAAGTGACTTGATGACGTGTTTTATATACTGTCTTTGTATAAAAACGTAGCGGCTTTGTGATAATATCTAAGCATTAGGTAGTATAGAATAGTGTTTCCCAAAGTGGGAGCCTAGGCCTAAGCTTTTTCTGGGGTGGGGGCGCCAAAAATGGACCGAAAACAAAGATGCTGAATTAATTTTAATTCTAAATAAACAATAAGCCGATAAAATTATGTTTAATTAATTAAATGATAGAGTATGTCGTAAGGAAATGTTAATGTGTTTACTACGACACTGTTTTTCAATCACCATGTTAAAGTTATAGGTTTTTTTTAGGGGGCGCTCAAACCTTTTCTTTTATTCACATCAAGGAAGCCTCAGTTTGGAAACCATTGATATAGAAAACCGTTATCTCAGTTAAAAATCTTTGAATCTGTATAAAACTAATATTACTGTTTATTCAAAGGTAAAAGAACACTCAGTGATGAAGTTTTTCTTGAAAACTGGTTCAAAGAAGTTATGTTTTGCATTATTCACAAAGTATATTGCAGTGTTGAATTAGACCACTAATAACTGCAAATTGGAAAAAAAAACGGTGTTTTTCATTTCTTCATTCTACACTTCGCGAAACTCAGTTGATTTGTTACGTTTTATAGTAACCACTACCGTTGCTATAACAACGGACGTAGTGGTTGTGTTTACACCTGGCACGAGGACACGTAAGCAGTCTTCGAAGGAGCACGGTGTTGTTTCGATATGTTCCGCGGCAGTGAGAGGTAGGTTTGATCTTGATAGTTTCATATAAGAGGAATACAAAAGATTGATCAACTATCTGTCCGAATATTAATATTACATATCAAAAATTGGTTTACTTACCACCCAACATTTCTTCTAAGCTTCTTTGCTTTATAAGATCTAACGTGGACGATTGTTAAATTGGAGACGTTGTGTGAGTCGTATCGTCATGGTAACTAGAAACGATGTGCCAGTTTGGTCTCGAGCATTTAGCAGGTGGGTGTTTAGTTAGGCTAAATCTGTTTTCAGTTTCTACAAGACTTAGAAAAAGAAACAAAGTTTCTTGAAATTAATAAACCCATTTTAATTTAAATGAAATAAAATTTTAGAGAGTTAATCAAATTTAGGGTCCTCATTGTTTCAATTTTAGAGCAAAAAATTTTTTTCTTCTAAAGCTATTGACTTTTTCTTTTGGTTGAGGAAAATTCGACACTTACGAAAATATACATTTATATATATATATATAATCTTGTATTACTGCGTGACATTTGCTAGCATAGTTTGTGTTTACATATGTATAACGTTAAAACCTAATGCGTTTTGGAACTACTGGGTTTTGCTAAGTACCAATGAGTGTGATCCATAATTTCTTCTCTGAGTTGTAATGTCTCTAATGTTTAGTCTGTAACGATGGAAATGAACTGGTATTAAAATGTCTACTACCGTGTAGTGTATCTAATTAAAATACGAATATTTGACAAGTACTTTCTGAATTTCCCATTGCCACTGCGTAACGGGCGCAGTGTATTTATATATAAATCAATACATTGAATATTTTGTAAAAACAGCACTACTACACTATGGTCTTTATTTCGGAATATTATTATCAAATAGAAAGGAACAGTTGTATTTTTAGTTATTTCTTATTGAACGATTTAAAACTAATTTTTGATTTATTTATTATTATTATTATTATCACTAGTTTTACGAAATTATTTAGTAATAGAATATTATGTATTTTATCTATTTCATATTTTTGTATAATTGTTATGATTATTCTCTTGAAGATAATGTATATAATAATTTATTTAGTCCGTCTAATTTGAGAAATTCAAACAAGTTTTAAAAAATGATGAGAAACTTCTAAAAATATATTAGCCGAAATTAAAGACAAAAAACAAACAAACTCACACGTATAATTTTATATATTGTGATGTTATTTACTATTTGTTGGTCTTTAGCCTTATTCTATCGATGTTTTTTGTTTGTTTGAAGTTAAGCACAAAACTAGACGATGGGCTATCTGTGCTCTGCCCACCACGGGTATCGAAACCCGGTTTTTAGCGTCGTAAGTCAGCAGACATACCGCTTTGCCACTGGGGGCTTCTATCGATCTCTTAACATGCAAAACATTATTGTGTTTAATCGAGAGTCATGTTCCTTTTATAACTTAAGACACATAATATAATTCTTATATATATTTAAACTTAAAAGTAACTGAAAATATATATCTAATACTCTTGCTTATCAAAATGACGTTTTATTCACCAGTATGTAATTTATTTTTATTTATTTCCTACTTGGATGTAAAAATTTGGTCATAACACATCAAACTGGTTATTTTTCGTTCTTTATCAAGACCTGGTCTTGTTTTGAAACAGGCAATATCTATCTTGTCCATCAGTCTAGTTGTTTTGAACTTGTAGAATATGGAACACTTTACACCCAACCATTACCGAGTCGACCCCTTTTATAAGGTGGAAATGTCTTCTGCTTTTCTTGCAAACGTCCAAGCCAATGCAGTGAAAACCTTTCTTTACAACTGCAGAATTGTGTTTTTTATTTTTCAGGACATTTAATAACTGAAATTCACGATATTTTTTATTTAAAGAATGAGTAAAATAAAGAGAAAAAATAAATAAAAATACGTTCAAAATTTTTTTAAGGAAAATTTTAAGAAATTTACACATTTTTTATATCAAGTTTTCACTAAATTTCTGAATAAATCTTAGGGTTTGTTTATTATGGATTTCGCGCAAAGCCACACGAGGGCTATCTGCGCTAGCTGTCCCTAAGACTAGAGGGAAGGTAGTTAGTCATAACTACCCACCGCCAACTCTTGTGCTACTCTTTTACCAATGAACAGTGGGATTGACCGTCACATTATAACATTGTATGTTTGTCTCAGCGTAAAGCTATTCTATAGATTATCTGTCCACAACAGGGAATTGAACTCAACTTTCAACATTATGAGTTCTAAATGTACTGCTGACTCACTGGGAGACTAATTCTTAACAAATAAATGACGTCATTAAAAAAGATTTTGCCGAGCACGCTCAGTTGACTATGCTGTTGTGATAAAGTGTGAAGTAACATATGCTCTTTATCAACAAAACCGATTATAAACTTTAAGAATAAGCAGCTGCTGACAAGGTAATTGATGTGCTAACTACTTAGTGCTGACAAGGTAATTGATGTGCTAACTACTTAGTGCTGACAAGGTAATTGATGTGCTAACTACTTAGTGCTGACAAGGTAATTGATGTGCTAACTACTTAGTGCTGACTAAGGTAATTGATGTACGCTAACTACTTTAGTGCTGACTAAGGTAATTGATGTACGCTAACTTTTAGTGCTGACTAAGGTTAATTGTATGTA